GCGGTGGGCAGCCGCGCCATGCGGCGCCCCGCCTCCCGCCAATCTTGCTTGCACCGTCTCAGGCGCTCGGCCGCGGCCGCCTCCTCGGCGGCTAGGTCCACGATCGCGTCCGCCGCCGCCGCTGCCGCCGCCACCGCCGCCGCCGCCGCCGCACCCTGCGCCTCTTGCCGCCCCTTTTGATGGTCGCTGCCTGGGCCTGTTTGAGGTGGACGGCAGAGGTTGGCGCTTCACCAACGCGTGCGCAGAGGGCTTGTTGGCCATATCAGGCCGCCCTCCCTCCCTCCGCTGCGGCCCGATGGACACGTCACAGCCGGGCCCCGCAACCTGGCACGCCGAGTGAACCTTGAGCCTCGCCGCGCGTGTGCGCACCCGCGATGGCAACCCCCTAAATGGTCGTCGTCATACGCTGCCAGCTCACCAGCCTGTGGGCCGCGAACCCCTGTGTCCGCCTCGTCATCATCGTCCTCCAGCACCGCGCCCCTTCGCCTTCCGGCGCGCCGCCGCGCGGCGGGTGCGCCTCCCAGATCATCCTGCAGATCGCCGTCCAACTCCAAACCATCCCGGGGTTCCGCCTCTTGGCCGTGCTGCAGCCCATCAGCGCCTGAGTCGCTGCCGCTCCACTCGCTGGCCTCTGCGCTGCGTGTGGGCGCCGCCGCGCCCGTCACGATCGCACGGCGGCGCGCCTCGTGGTCTGCCAGGAGGCGCGACATGTCCGGCGGCTGCGCGGCGCGGCGGCGGAGGCGGCGGTGGCAACGTGTGCGCCGCAGCGAATCGGGTGCGCGCGGGGATATTGCTCATCGGCACGTTGACTTGTACGGTACTGTGGGCTACGGCAGCACTGCCACATCGTCTCTTGATTCCAGCAGCGGCCAACTCACAGCTGCCATGGCAAAAGATAGCATGGACGCAGCGGCGCACAGCAGTACGTCACTTGGCACCCACCGGGACCTTGACGCGCTGCGCACGCGCTCCCGCCGGTGCCGCCGTAGAGGCAGGCGAGACCATGGGAGCTGTAACAGCAACATCCTTGCGCTTCAGTCTTTTGTGTACGTGCGATTTCTGCTCATCAGACCCCTCCCGCGGCTCGAACTCTTCAGAATCAGACGACTCAATCACACGCTTTTGACGTGGCATAGCTGCTATGCTTGAAAAAAGGTATTTGAATGTGCCGTGCAAGCCGCGGGCCAGCTTCATTCGCGTGCACGCCATTGACGGTGCCGGTGTAGTCAGCGTGATCGTCAGACTGCTCTTTGACACTGCCTTGTGCCTGCATGCGTCGGACCATGTACTGTCCGCTGCCAAAAGGCATTTGTTGAATACACATGCGTCCAACTTCTGTTACAGCAAAGGTCGCAGCTATGCACGTTTGAAAAGGGACAGCAGGTGGCAGTGCGCTCTGGAAGTCTGGCCCCAGTCCCACAAATGCCAGGAGCCACCAGTGCTTATCCGCCACTCATCAGTCGCAAATGTGCTGGCATAGAGCAATGGACAATGCAGTCTCTGCCTCTCCTGTGCGTGCTAAACTTGTGCGCTCTAGCCTGCCTATGCGGTTGCATTGGGCACCCCAACTAATCACGCTATTCTCTGCCACCTGTAAAACCCATGCCAAATCAACCTGCCGGCGTCGAGCTAGCCCGCGACGCACACTTTCACAGATGCAGCAGTCAAGAATGCGTGCATGCCTCCTTCTCAGTTGTACGGGTTGTCAAAAGCCTGCGGATGCAAGCAAGAATGCATGTCGTGAGGGGTGTTCAAACAAGCTGAGCATGCCTGCCCGCACACATGCCCACAACGGACACACACATGCGCGCGCGTTCGCGCAGACACACACACACACACACACGCACGTCTACACGCACATCAGACACACGCACGTCAGACACACGCACGTCAGACACACGCACGTCAGACACACGCACGTCTGCACGCACGTCAGACACACGCGCGCAAAGCCACTCAGCGTGCCCCACACACCTTGACGAGGTTGGGGATGTACTCCGCAAGGACGGCGTCAATGGTGGCCAGCTTGTCGGGCGTCATCTTGGGAAACAGCCTGCATCAATCGACAACCAAAGGTGAGCGGCAGAGCACATGCAAGTGCCCTCTCAGATTGGGGCGCTCAGCTTAGTAGGACTCGCTGCACTGCACAGCCAGCGCGCCCGTGCGGCCCAGCTGCCCTGCAGTGCCTCTACAGGATGGATTGCCTTCTCACGTGAAGTCAAAGGTGGCGAGTATGCTCCTGAAGCGGCCCAGGTCCGGGAAGTCCCCCGCCGGCAGGTGGTGCTCGCGCTGCACCTGTTAACCAAGGGTAGGCGGCCGCGCAGCCAGGGGAGGCGCACAGGCCCGGGCAGTGCAGGGAGAGGCGTTGACGCGCCTGGAGCGATTCTTTACGTGCAATTGACGCGTCGCAATCGCTCCATGGAACAGTTGCGCGTGCCTCCTTGCACAAAGGTGTGTGTGATTTGCATAAAGTATGGTATGTACGCCGGCTCGCCGAACAGAACAGGTGTGCACGTGCGCGCACACACAGGCACGCGCGCGCGCACACGCACACACACACACACACACTACATATGGGCTGACTTGCACGCACAATACATGCGCATGCCATGCACTATCTCCTGACCTCGTAGAATATCTCCGGCAGCTGCTCCAGGACCTTGCGCTTGGCCCCATCCTTGCCAAACACGGCAGGCATGTGCTTGCGGATGTGGCCGATGAGCATCATGTGGATCCTGAGGGCACGCACGCGCTTGACAAACTCGTTGACTGCAGGGATACGGGGAAGGGGATGCTTGTGAACGTGAATCCAGACGTATTTGTGGCTTTGTCAGGCATATTTGAAACAGTGGTAGGTGAGATGGCACAATGATACGGGCGGGTGGGCGAAGAAAATGCACGCTGGTGTGGGACAGTCTTTGTAAGGCTTCCCCTAAACAGCCACGCACCCTTCCTGTCGCAGGAGCGCGCCGGGATCTGTGAGGGTAACACAAGCGGAATGGACTGGGTCGCGCGCAAGAACAGCCTATCACAAGCAACTAGCACGCTCATCTGGATTGCCACAATTGCCCCTGGTATCACCACTGCTGCTTGGCAAGTGCGGCCCTTCCAGCAATCCACCTGCTACACACACACACCCCTGCAAAGCAGATTATGGGGAAAAACCACTCAGATCATACCCAACCACCCTCGAACCTCGTGCAGGTCCTCCAGCAGGTCTGCGTGCTCCTTCTCGAACAGCCCGACGCACTCGGGGTTCCTGGACGCGTCGACAGGCTTGTCGGCGTTGAAGCTGCCGATGTAGACCTGGCGGGGCCGTCAGGAGGGTTAGTGGAGCTTTCCGTCGAGCGCCAATCGGGCTTTGGCTGGCTGGCTTGGTTGTTCAGCTGGTTGCTGGCCGGCCGGAGCAGGCCAGCAGGCTAGGAAGCTGTGTTGATTGGTTTATAACGAGGGAAGTGGGGGCCTCAACGCAGCTGTAGGACTGAGAACCAGGCTGCAGCACAGACCAGGGACCAGGCGGCGCGCGGTTCATCCCTCAACATAGTCGGCAATGTCGATGGCCGTATCCTGCATGGTGTATGCCTGCTCACCCTGCAGACCTCCGGCGTCCTGAACACCTTCCCCAGGCTCCACATCAGCGCGCCGTACACGCGCATCAGCTGCTGCTGGTCCACCTGCGAGCAGAGAAGCCACGCAGCACAGGCACACATAAAGCACCGGCCAGGCCGGCCGCCGCAGCCCAACCAGCGCCGGATCAACCCTCAGACACGGAGCCTGGATCATTCCTGAGATCCTCGCTGGGCCAAAGGGGCGCTGTAGGATCTTTCCCGGCCCCACCTGGTCTGCCTTGTTAAGCACAACGCGAATCTTATCGTCGTGGCCCCTCAGGGCGGCGATGACCTGCCGCATCTCGTCGCTGATGTCCTGATGACGTCACAACAGGGGAGTTGGGGCGCAAGGCAGATTCGACACATCAAGCCAAGCAAGCGGCAATCTGTGCTCAAGCAGCATCCAGAATAGGTCGCTAGCAGGCATACAAGGCAGGTTGAATGCGGACAGCCTTGTGTGAGTGCAGCTCTGCCGCTTGTCAGCCCCCCAGCCGCTAATGGGCAGGCGTCCACACTGCGTCAGGGAGTATATGAGAGCATTGGGACAGTCGGGCGGTCATCAAAAACGTCCCAAACCGCCCGCCCTCGCACCCACCAATTTGAAGGGGTCAAACAGCAGCAGGATCATGTCGCAGCGGGCCGCAAACCACTCGCACACATTGATGAAGGAATAGTGGCGGTCTGGGCAACGGGAGGGCGGGGTGAGGGAGGATCATGGCAGCAGGATGTGACTTCAGGATTGCAGTGTGGTTTAGTTGCCACCGTCATCATACGGTAGCACATTTGCATGGCATGAGCAGGCATAAGCCTCTTTGAATGCCACCTCAGGATGCATGCTCATTTGGGGTGCCTCAAGGCGCCCGACAGCAGCAGGGCCACCAAACGGATGGATTGCCATCACCTATCCTTTGCTTCTCCCCGGAGAGCACCCCCGGCGTGTCGATGATGGTGACGTCCTCAAGCAGCCGTGCGGGGCACTGCGAGCCCTCAAAGCGCGTCAGGAAGCCTGGGAGATGTCGAGGACCCGGGGAGGGGGAGGGGCACATCAGTGGGCAGCGAGCTCACCTGTGTTGCACGCGCTGTCCATGCAATTTGGCCAGAGCAGCTTGACACAACCAAGGGACTGCCATGGTGGCTTGGCCTTCGTGACAAAACCTATCTTAAGGGGTAGGTTTCGTCACAAAGGCCAAGCCACCATGGCACAAGGGTGGGGATGGAAGCCTCGGCACACATGCTGCGGGCGTGCCGCTACGGCCTAGCGGGCCACATACCCACCGGTGCCAAACCCGGAGAGGCCCTGGTAGGGCTTGTCCGGCTGCACCGCCAGCGTGTTGCCGGGCGTCCGCCGCTCCTCCAGCCCGTGGTGCACGACCACAAACCTACAAGACACGGTCGGCAAGTGTGTGAAAACATCAAGCTGAGGGTCACTGCCGTTGTCCATGTGCACAGTGGATCACGGCGGGATTGAACGATGTGTGGGTTGGTGGGCGGGTCTGAGGGGAGAAAGGTGCAGGGATGCAAAAGCCAGCATGGCAGGGAATAGTATTTTGAGCCAGGCTCGCTGCATCGGGCTGCTGAGCCCTCTCTTGCCTGTCCGTGGTGGGCTCCGGCCCGATGTGCGCGCCAGGGTAGTCCCGCCCCAGCATGGACTGTGATAGACAGCAGACGCGAAAAGAGCGCAGATGGCAGGTCAGGGTGCCGACCATGCATTAGAAGATGCGGCCTCACCACTGCCCAGGCAAGCACAAGGCAAAATTGTCTCCCGGTAAAGAATGCAAAGGTGGCACTGGCTTCACCTTGATGAACGTGGTCTTGCCGGTGCTGTACTGACCCATCAGCAGCACTGACGGCTTGGCGTCAAAGTCGCTAGGCTGCAGCAGGCTGCTGAAGAAGCTGCTGAACTTGAAGGCCTCCTCCAGCGGACGAACCTGTCAGCCATTTTACGGCCATAAAAGCATCAGTATGTGATACGTGCTTGGAGTTGCCCTTGAAACCGCACGCGGCTGGCAACATGGAGCTTTGAGCAGCCTGGCAATTGCCAAGACTCCATCACGCCCAAAGGGCCTCACGGTGACGCACACGCCCTGCTGACCATCTCCAAGTCATAAAAGCCCCCTAGGATGTAGCATCAATGTCACCTTTGTGAAGTATATGGCCTTGAGGCCGTCAACAACCGACGTCACGATGCTGGCCGGCACCCGCTGCCGCGCCGCCGCCCCCCGCCGGCCGCGGGTGCGGCTGCCTTTTGCGTCGTCGCCCTGCTTGTCGTGCTGGCAGCCAGGATCCTGCGGAATACAACAGATGCCTTAACAAAACTATGCACCCAGCGAAGTTGACATGTTGTTGCGAGACGATGGCCCCCTTGTTCGTCGCAAAGCCACCACCAGCCACTAGCCACACACTCACAAAACCCCCTCCAGACATTTGGCGCTTGCAGCCACACACCCCGCTCACCTTGACCGGCGACGGCGGGCCACTCGATTCGCTGCCGTCGGCGCCGCCCGCCTCATCGCTGCCCATCAGGCCGGCCAGGTGGGGCGGTGCAATGCCGCGGACAAGGGCCGCCAGGTATGCCTGCTTGTTCACGCTGCAGCCCTGCGCTCGTGAGGGGTGGTTCACGAGAGGACAGTTTCATCAAGCTGGCTTGCGAAGGAGGGTTACTGCGACACTTGCATGCTTTGGGGAACGGCGGGGGCTGAATGCGCCCTGCGGCCACACGCGTTTACACGGGGGTGCGCAACGCCGGCATGCTGTGCTTTCCGGCTGCACGTGGGGCCATGTGCGGCGGCTGCGGGATTGGGGCATGTATGGTTTTGTCCCACCGCGCACCTGCTGGGCGATGCTGATGAGGTCCATTGCTTTGTGGAACGCCGCGCGGTCCAGGTAGCCCGCCCTGGGGGTCTCATTGGTGGGACCGAGTTGCTAAGGCTAAGGGTAATGAAAGGTGCAGCTCTTTGGCTGGGGCCTAGTGGGGCCACCAAGACGCGCCAACAAATGCGCAGGGCTTGGCGCACAGTTCAGTCACCTTAGCAGCCCAAAAGCTGAAAGTTATCCTCAGGCTGACCCTCCCGCACCCTCAAGCTCCTAGACACGTGCATCACACCTTGAGGTGTTGGCCATGTCCCAGACGCGCGCCAGGACGTCCTTACTGAGGCCAGACCGCTGGAAAAACCTGTAACATCCGGTGTGGGGGAGGGGTTGAGCGCGACTGCCCATCTCGGCGGTCGGCGGCGCAGGGATCAATATTCCCGCCCTCAGCAGCACTGCTGCACCTGGGTTTTTGCGTGTGTGAGGCGGTGCAGGATCTCCCGCTGTGTGGGGCGTCGCATCATCGATGGCAAATACTGGCGGTTACGTGCCAGGCCGCCCAGCTGCTCACTCGACAGCATCGGCGCCGGTGACGCGACCGTCCGAATCGGTGTCGGCCGCCTTGAACCACCTGCGCACGCGTCATTGTGAGGTGCGTGAGCACCCCCGAGTCAGCAACAACCCCTGGTGCAGCTGCCGCCAGTCAAGGACCAACCCAGACACCATGTGCGTGCGTTGGCGGGGGCAGGCAGATATAGAACTAACCTGTCGTAAGTGACCGCATTGGCCAATACGCCAGACGCCGCCTGGTCCGTCGCCTGCAGGTGGGTGTCCATAGCAGTGGCGCACCTGCCGGGGCCTCACTGCCTGCAAGCAACGGCATGAGGGGCCATGGCGCGGTGGCCTCAGCATGAGCGACAACGCAGCACTGCCACCATCCCCGCGGTACTGTGGCTCGAGAGGGCGTGCCACGCGCGATCCGTTGGAGACTGTCATGGAATTTCTTTCACTGCATGGATCACCGTTAGCTCGCGATGCCTCGAGCCTCAGACTGAAGTTGAGTTCAAACCCGAAGAAAGGCTCTGATCGCGAGTAGGGTGCGTCAGATAGAGCACGGATGCGAGAAGGTTTTCAACGACAGCCCCGCGACGGGGCTGTGGAGGCTGTTGGGCGATCTGGGAAGGCACAATTGGGGTGACGGCGATGGTGCGGTGGCAACCGGCCACCATGTGGTCGGGCGCGGTGTCCCCCACCAATCACTGCTCATGATTGACTCAGAATCCACGCCTTTATGATACAGCACCACGCACGCCGTGCAGGTCAGCTTGCTAGTTGCGATGGTGCAATGTGGTGAAAAATCAACACCGCATCAATCATGTTTGCCATAGCGAGCTCTCGCACAATGTTGAGGCCAGATGCAGGCCTTGGCTGTTTAGTAGGACCACTTCACTGGCGAGGCCCTATTGCTTATGCATGATCAAGGGGGGTACTGACTCATTTTTATGGCCGTGTGCAGAGTAGCAATCCCAGAGCGGTAAGGAGAGATGTGCCCGCAGCTGACGCCTGCGCCAATACCCAGTTTATACTTCTAGACCTGGTTGCAGCATGACATGTGAATCACCAGAGGCTCAGCCGCCCGCTAACGCACAATTGCTGACGATCACGAATTGCATGGCCTGCTGCCATCTTTGTGGAGCATTACTTGGCATCAGCCATCGGTGTTTATATTGTTTGCCGCTGAATCAGATCCTGGAGTGAAACCAGGAACCAGCAGATGTATGCCATGTGCGGGGCCCATGCACGGCTGCATGCACCGCTGCTGGCGCTCACGCACATGCTGTGGTGCAACCGGTCAACAGCTGCTGCGAACGAAGTACTGTACACCCTTTGCAGTGCGCATGCGCGTACTGCGTTTGGGTGTCCGATATTCGCATCTCGCTATCATGGCCCGTTCTCGGTTATTCCGCATGTGGAACACTCGGCAGCACATGAAGCACCCGACAAGCGTGCCTGCTGCGCTCTTGCCCGCCCTCGCTGCCGAGCCGTCATGCAACCCTCACAGCCGAAGCTTAGAGCTTAATCGTGACGATTTGCTGCTTGATTTAGCGCGTGGCTTTATTTGTGCTCAGCGAGGACGGCTCCTGGCATCCGTCTCACCCGGGTGCTGCTACCGAGCAGGTGCCGCAACAAAGATCTGTGAATGCAGGGCGGGCAACGCACTAAAGTCTTCACCAAAGTAAACCTCCTCGTTTGTCCCGACAGCCACCTCGATCATTGCCGGAGCTCTCCAAGACCAAACTGAACACGCGCGCAGGACCCCAAGCTAGGAACCATATTCAGACGTAGGAGGGCGGGTGCGACCGCCGGCGCCATGCCACAAGCTCGAACGTTGCGCCATATGCAGCCCCAGCTTGCAGCATGCAGGGTGCTGCTGCTGCTCCTTGCGGCGCCGACTCTGGCAATCGGGCAGGCTGTGACCAATGCGGAACAAGTGGCGGCGAAACCGCAGGCGGCACACATACAGATGCCAGATTACACAATGTACAAGCGCAGGTGCGCGTGGCGGATGGTGAACAGAGAGCAACTGGCGGGACTCGTGCACGCCGCCGAACCGCGTTTGCGCGTGCGGAAGCTTGCTACCGCCCGGCATGCTGCCGACCACGGCTCTACACCCGACCCCAGGACGGAGCTGCTGCAGGAGGTGGTAGGCATGGCTGCAAAGCGCCCGGACATAATGAGCGTCCAGACAGAGGCCGCGCGGGACGGGAACTACACAGTAGACATGCTGGTGGGCATGGGCGCAGGGGAGGAGGGTGATGTCGACACACGCACGGGCGCACGTCGAGAGAGCAGCGACTGCAGCCCGTCTCGTGCTCGTGATGGTCTGGGCTCGCAGCAGGGCGCGCAAGGCGAAGGCCGGCTGGCTTTTGTACATATGCAGCGCCTCAACGCCCCGCCAGCAGCTAGCCGGGGTCGCTGCAGACTTGATTTAGGCCCAGATCAAGCAGCGTGCCCCTCATCCCTGGCCTGCAGGTGGTCAACCTGGAGCCCAGCGGGCTCAGCACATCTCATTCTAACAAAGTCAGGCTGCTGCTGGTGAGACCGCCAAGCGCCGCGCGCCCTCCACACCACCAAGCGCCAGCAGTGCGACCCCTGGCCGCGCGTGGCGCCCCCCACCTCTCAACCGGGCGCGCCCGCCGGCCCGCGTGCGCTGTGAGGCACTGCGGCGGAGGGACGGCCGGAGACCCTTATGCCCGCCGCATGCACCTGCCTCCCTTTCTCAGGACTTTGGGGAGCACGGGCGCGAGTTCATATCGTCAGAGGTGGGCCTGCGCTTCCTGCGCACCCTCACCAACGACACCGCGTTCGAGGCCGCGGCCGGCGGGGCGCGGCGCGCGGCGCGGCTGAGGCGCATCCTTGACCTGTGCGTTTTCAAGGTGAGCAGGACTGCAGGGTTTGTTTTGTGCGGAGATTTGCAGGGCCGATCGAGTGGCGGACGGGTGGTCGGCGCGCTGCTGCACCACGCCCAGGATCAGCTGCTTTGAGACTTCGTCTGGCGTGCATGCTGCCTGCTCTTCCGCCAAGGCTCACGTTATACACGAAACGCATGCACGTGCTCACATATCCTTGCACGCACACACTGATGGACGCACGCACACATGCACACCCACCCACCCCCCCCACACACACACAAACAGACACACACACACGTACAAACACACGCACACACGCACACGCGCGCACACACACACACACACACACACACACACACACACACACACACACACACGTGTGCTTGCTTGCTTGCGTCGACAGATCTTGCCAATGGAGAACGCGCGCGGCCGCGAGCTCGTCGAGTCCGGCAAGCTGTGCGAGCGCAAGAACGGCCGTGGCGTGGACACCAACCGCAACTGGGGCGTGGACTGGGGCGTCAAGGAGAAGGACTACGATCCGAACGAGGAGTACCCCGGGACAGCGCCGCACAGGTGCGGAGGGGGGGACGCGCGGAAAAGGGACTCTCTTGCTGTGCCGGCAGGGAGGTTGGTATGTTGTGGCGTGCATCGCGGTGCGCCCGGCACGTCTGGCAGGCGCAGTGGCTTCTGTGCAAACACGTTCGACACGCCGCCGCCGCCGCCCGACTTCCGTCGCCGCGCCGTGTCGCAGCGAGCCGGAGGTCCAGATCATCATGCGGCAGGCCAAGGCCCTGAAGCCTCACGTCTGGCTGAACGTGCACTCTGGGATGTACGCGCTGTTCACGCCCTACGACCACAAGCCATACGTGAGCGGCGCGGGCGGCTGGATGACACCAGGCGGCGCACGCAGTAGGCTGTGTTGGCGCCGAGGCGGCGACCCTGCAAGCGCCATCGTGCTGCGCATGCTTGCACCCTCTGGCCTGGGCTGGTCGCAGGGTCTTGCAGCTGATGACTGATGTCTGTCCCGACCTGACCAGCCCCAGCAACCCTCAAGCTTTTCGAACTGCTGCACCACCCACCTGACTTGGCAGGTCCCCGAAGGCGAGGCGGAGCAGGCGTCACTGCGCATCATGCGCCGCATCAATGAACTCAGCTGCCAGGGCAAATGCGTGATCGGCTCGGGCGGCAAGTCGGTTGGGTGAGCGAAAACGCGCAGGAGGGTGGCACTCGTATGCAGGCAGCGACAGGCTGCGCCGCGGCGAGGGCCTCGAGCGCCTTTAGGGCAGGCGGCACCCCCACCCATGCGGTCTGGCGCCCGCCTCTGGCTCCTTTCGGGGCATGAATGGCGCGTCCCGTCACTCTGCTTGCCCCTCCAATTCTAACGTCCTGCAACCCTTCCAATCGACCGCCTTTCTCCACTCCCCTTTTCCTGTTGTCCTTGCCTTCCGCCCACCCGGCGCACTGCCCACTCTCCACGCCGACCACTGCGTCACCTCCCCCCCTCCCCCGGCCCGACCCCACGCACCTTCCCTGCAGCTACCTGGCCCACGGCACCGCCACAGACTACATGTACGACGTCCTGAAGGTGCCCCTGGCCTTCACCTGGGAGATCTACGGGGACGAGTCCGCGGGCTTCGACGACTGCTTCCGAATGTTCAACCCCGTCACGCGGCCCCTGTTTGAGGTGCGGCGCCGCCCGCGCCCCCGCTGACGCAGTGGCTGCCCGGGCGGTCTTTCTCGAAATCGCGGCCGCTGCCGTTCCTGTGACGCAGACTTTCAGGGCCCATGTTGAGCGTGAGGTGCTTCCCGGCCCCTTTTGCTCTGGCTTGAACGACTCCTGACTGGCACCGATTTCAACCATTTGCAGGAGACCGTCAAGTCCTGGGTGTCTGCCCTGCTGCAGCTGGTGGAGTTGCTGCCGACCCACCCCGCCACCGCGCCGCTGCTCAAGGCCGCGGCCGCCGACGCGGCGCCGGCGGGCGCCGCGCCGGCCGTGCAGCGGCGGCAGGGGCTGGACGCGGAGGAGCCGCGGCCGGGGGCTGAGGGGCAGCAGCTGGAGGAAGGGAAGGGGGCGTCGGGCCAGGAGGGCAGAGCGGATTCAGAGGCAGCAGCAGCAGCAGCAGCAGCAGCAGCAGGGCCCGGGGCGGCCGGCGCTAAGGAGGGCGCGGTGGCCGAGGGCCAGCAGCAGCAGCAGCAGCAGCAGGGTGGGACGCTGCCGCGGCCGCTGCGCGCCCATAGCAGCGAAGGGCGCCTGCGGGACCCGCAGATGCCGGCGCAGCGGCTGGCAAGCACCCATTGGCTGGTCCCCGCCGTGGTGATGGCCGTGGCGCTGGGCGGGCTGGTGTGGGGCAGGTGGGCGGATGAGTGGCGGCGGCTGCCCGGGAGGAGACTCAGCGGGCAGCATTCTGGTGCATGATCTGCTCACACTTGACACTTTGTTCCTTTAGCTGGGGTAACCCTACTTGTTTTCGCGACTGCAAGTTGGATGGCTGTGCCTCAGCTGGTCTCAGCTTTGTGGCGTATGAGCAGCACAGATCACTACCCACAGCACGAATTCCCTGTGGTCTTGCTTTATGGGTTCCAAGTTCCATGCTCTTGGGGCGAAAGCTGGCATGGCATTGAGCAGCATCCTGGCACGCCAGCTGGCGCGGCTCAACTTGACCACTAGGCAACAGCACAAGGCCGCCGGCTAGAGGACTGACACATCTGCGCCCGCACTGCTGCTGCTCGATGTTCGCACCTTGCCGCAGGCGCGGGAGGAGGGCACCAAGGGGGCGGCCAGATACGAGGCTGGCTCAGCTGCAATTCATTCATTCGTGACAGTCCTGGCTTCGCATAGGCATGGCTGTCAGGCTGAAAGCTGACGGCAGCAAGGCTGAGGCTTTGGGAGCTTGGCCACAGCAGCATGTGCTTGAGATTGTGCGCTGCACCTCCGTGCCTTCATGCACATAAGACTCTACAATGCCCGCCTGCATGCATCACCCATGACTCACAGCACATTTTATGGCGAACCCGAACCTCTCAGAACCTCTCGTGACTGACAACAATTTTGTTGTTGCAGATCCCAGCTGCTTCATTGTAATGCACTTTTTTGGTTTGTCCGTCGCACGCAGCGCACGCCCACCCTGCCAGCGCGTGTCGGATGCATCCGACACGCGCCATATGGCGAGGCTACCTCTCCCCCCCCCCTACCAGCACTCCCGGTGGACCTGCGGGGCGATGGTCAGGTCGGGCGTCTGGCTGCACCGCCGCCCAAAGTAATCCCACCCCTCCCGCAGCCTCGCCGCCCCCGCCCGTCGGCACCGCCGCACTTGGCCGGGCAGGTGCCCGTCATCGACTTCGCCCCCGCCCGGCCAGCCGTCCGCCTCCCACGGCCGCTCGTCGCGCGCCGCGCGTGATAGCGCCTCGCCCCGCCTCTTCACATCGGCGGCCACCACATGAAATGCGGCCAGCACCCGCTCTCGCCGCTCCACCCCCCACACGCCCAGCCGGCTCGCAGCGGCCTCGCGCCGCAGCTGCGCCGAGCGGCGGCGCAGCTGCAGCACTGAAGCCTCTGAATTGGCCGGGTGCTTCGGGCCCTCCGCCCATTCGAGTAGCTCCTGAAAACTGGGCCCCTCGGGCTCCTCCCTGTGCCTCAGAAGCAGCGCCCTGGCCTGCCGCGACAGCTTGAAGCCGCCGGCGGGCCGGCGGCCGGGGGACAGCGGTGCGCGCTCCGTACACGGGGCACGCCCGGCGCCGCCGCGGGGCTGTGGGGCACCCGGCACTCCGCCGCGCGGCTGCAGACCGGCGCCGTCTGATTCTGTCTCATCTGGCGGCGGCAGCAGCCCGGCCGCCTTGAGCAGGACGTACCGCACCTCGTCCCGCTCCCTCGCCGACCCCAGCGGCGGCGGCGGCGCTGGCGGCGTGAGCAGCGCGCGGAAGTCCGGCAGCCACCTGTCCGGGAACCCCGGCGCGTCGCTTGCCGCGACCAGGCGGCGCATCAGCCACTGGGGAGCTCTGCGGGCCCAGCGCCACCAGGCCGAAGTGGAGGGGGGCGCGAACACCGGCGGCCGTGGCCGCTCGCCTTCCTGCTCGGCCGTGCAGCCGCGCGGCGCGCCGGCGATGGCGTGCAGCGCACTCCAGTGGCGCCCATCCTCGCGGCGAGGGTCGGCGCCGCAGCGCAGCAGCGCGACCGTGGTCGCGCAGGACCCCATCTCCGCGGCGACTTGCAGGGGCGCCTCCCCATGGGGCCCCGGGAAGGGCGCCTCTGGGTCTGCCCCCAGCCACCGCACCAGGGCCGTCACGACGCGGTGGCGCCGCCGCACGACAGCCACGTGCAGCGGCAGCGTCACCTGCGGCGGCGGGGGCGGCCCGCGGCTGGGCCGCGCCGAGGCGACAGGCGGCGGCGGCGCGGACGGCGGCGGCGAGGTGGGGTGGCGGTAGCGGCCGTGCGCCGCCAGAAGGGATATGAGTGCCAGGGTCGCCTTCTGGTCGTTGTCGCCGGCGATCATGGAGGAGAGCAGGGCGCCGGCGTCCAGGCAGTCCAGCTGGCTCATGTTCGCCCGCAGCAGCGGCGGCACGCAGGGCCATGCGCGCAGGCGGATCGCGAGGTCCAGGGGCGTGCGGCCCCACCTGTCAGCTGCATGCGCAGTTGCGCCGGCCTGTATTTTGAAAGGCAAGTGAAGTGCGCCGAGACGGTGTTGTTGGGTGATCTATGCGAACCAACCTGGGGAAACACAGACGTGAAAGACCATGGCGGCAGCTGTCAAACATCCAACAGCTCTGCCCTTGGCAGAACAGGCACCGACGTGCTCACCATTAGTAGTAGCGGCACGAGGGCGCGCATACTCGGCAGCTGCACTGCAACGTGCAGGGCAGTGAAGCTCCTGCGGTCTCTGCCGTCCAGGTCGGGCCCAAGGCGAAGCACCTCTCCTAGCAGTGCGGCTGCATCTGCGGGCGTCAAGTGGCGTACCGCGCAAGCGCGGAGGGCGCACGGCAGGACACGGTGCTTGCCATACTGCCTTGTCATGGATTGAGCGACGCTCATTAGCTCTTCTCTAACAGTCCTGGGTTCGTCGGTTCTTGCAACGTCAGACGGAGTTCTTCGCAGCCCGAGCCAGCTGAGACTTCTTTTGGCGGGTTTCATCCATAATTGCAATTTTGTGCACTGAAACGATCGTAGATAGCCTCCCTACAAGTTTGCAAAGCCACCCACGCTTTACATTACCCGCCTCCATCGCGGGTCGTGCTCTTGCGCAGCGGCAGAGTGGCCGAGTGCCTGCCATGTCCCCGCAGCGCTGCCCTCACAGCGCGGAAGGACCTTTCCTGTATTGTTCTTAGTAAAGTTGCAACGAGGAACGCACAAAGCAACAGCAGCAGAGATCGCCGCGGAGCGTCGTCGCTGCAGGATGGGCGCACCTGGAGGGAGCCAAACATGGCTGTTGATACAATCGCCCTTGAGTTGCGTTTCGCCCCGTCCTGGGCCACGCACGGGCTCATGTCTGCCGCCAACAAACAGCTACCCCTGCCTCTGTCCGCCCCGGCCCCCAGCCACCGCACCCGCTGGAAGGGCTGCCGCCAGGGGGGGGTGCCATGCGCTATTAACGAACAGGACGGTGAACGCGACGCAGCAGAGCAAGCAGGAGGGGAGCGGGCGCGTGTGTGTACGTGTTCACCAAGGGTCAGCTACGGGCTAGTGATTTGCACTTCCTTCCGCCGTCCTTGAGGTCAGCTGCTGAAACGAAGCCCCATGAGGTGTGACAGGACGGCATGTTGCTCCCCAGTTTGCAACAAGTTGCAAGATCGCATTATCCCCATGGTTGTGCAGATTGCCCCTGTGCTGTTGTGGACAGATTGGCCACCAGGGATTGTCAGTTCAAGCAGAGTTCACAGGCGCAGACCCCCCTCCCTCGTGTGCATGCGCCACATGCACACGACGCATGCATGGCTGCAGGACTTCAGGAGGCATGGCAGAGCAGATTGCATTTCCTTCGGTGGCATCAAAGAAATCAATGCCAAATGTATGTGATGCAAAACGTCAAGCCTTGCCGCCGCTGACCATTTCGGCACTCTCACCCTCACTCTGTGTATATACTAACCCGGAAGCCCTGGCACCTGCACGAATGACAGCACCACGTCTGATGTCACGGGTGCACAAACGACAGCACCACATGCTACATTCTTGCATCATCTGCTGATGCTGTTTGCTGCCGAGCGCCACTTGCATGCCCACAGCGGTAGTGCGGTACGGGTGCGGCGCTGGCACAAAGATCAGCGTTGCAGAAGTGATCAAGCAGCTGCGTTCAAATTTGATCGCTCCAGCCACTCATAGCACTCACAAAATATTTTGAGGCCTGTGGCAGGTATGATATTGACATTACTTAAGCGTGCCTTGAGATCATTTGACCGGCCACATCATCCTCGCCTCACCGCGAGCGAGGGACACGCTTCATGGCTACCACCTCGTTCAAAAAGGCGCTAACTGCCTTCATCCGCGGCATATCTGCGCTTGAACCTGATGCAACCGGGCGCCATGGCGCTGCCCTCGCCCAGCTGCTGACGTGTTTCGCGCAACTCGCCGACCCCATGCCGCCGGAGCGACTGCTATTCCCGCCCCACTTGCTCAATGAGCTCGCTCGCTTGATCGTCGCTCACGGCAGCAACAGCGCCGTCGCAGAAGCGTGCTGCTGTGCGATCGACGCGCTGCTCAAAGGGGAGCAGGGCCGCCAGCTGGTTACAAAGCACGCGCCGCTCCTCAGGTGGGCCGCAACGTCTTCAGAGCGCGGGCGCTGGTTGGCCCTGCTTGACAGGGCTGCATCCTGCTTATACTGGATTTCACTCCCCCAAAAGCGTATTCCAGCAGGGGGCCCGCATCAGCGCATTTCAAAGGGGGGCCCCTCAGCAGCGCCTTCTCCCCCCGCTGCCCCGACGACAGATCACTGGCGCAGGTGCTGCTCAGCGAGGCGCAGACCCATGTCGACGTCGGGGCCGCTTGGAGGGCGGCTGCGCGGCTGATGGCGCAGGATGTCAGCCGCGCTGCCCTATTGCAAGTGTGCGACCCGGTGGACCTAATCAATGCAGCCGCCGGCGCCTTCAACTCCCCGTACCTTCGGAGGCGCGCGGCCGGCACTCCAACCCCAAGCGACAAGTTGTCCCTGCTGCGGGCCGCCGAGTTGTCCATTCTCTGCGTCATCAACCGACTGGTGATCTACAGGCCGCAGGCCGCCTGCCGCCTCGCAAAACTGGAGGACTTTGCAGCGGCCCTGCTCTTGCGCACGGCCAAAACGGCCGCCGCGGCCCGCGGCGGCGGCGGCGGCGGCGGCCGCGGCGGCCGCAGGGGCAGGGATGAAGCCGTCTCGATTGCCGACCTCCTCGATGACCTGACACGTATGCTCAAGGTCCTGCCCCTAACATTCCAAGGCTTGGCGCTCGCCGCCCTCGGCTGCCCAGGCGCCCCCAGCTTCTCGCCCGCCTCGTCCGCCGCCAAGTCGTTCGCGGCGTCCCTCCTCGGCCTGCACCCCCGCCTGCCCGACCTCCTGGCCGGCATCATATCAGACCACACGGCGGCAGCCTGCAGCGGGGCCGAGGACAGCGCCAATATCGTAAGGTTTGCGTACGCCACGCTCTCCCACCTGGCGTCCTGCAGCGCCGTAGTCGCCGAGCACGTCGCCGCATCGCCCTCGCTCGCGCGGGCGGCGGTCTCCGCGCTCCAGGCCGGCGACGCCGAGCTCGTGCAACGGGCAGCACAGTTCCTGAGCGGTGCAGTGGCCGGGCCCTTTGAGCCCAGCACCTGCGCCGGCGGGCGGCTTTCACAAGCGTGTCTGGACAGAAGAGTTGCCCGTGCCACATCGCTGTGCAGGTTATTCCCCGACGCTGCGCTGCCGGCGCTCGCGAGGGGCCTTTGCGTCCTGAGCGGCACCGAAAACTGCACGGCCGCGGCGTTCAGCGTGGCCGCGCTGCTCGACCAGCTGACAGTCGAACGAGAGCAGGCAGCGGCCGCGCTGTATACGGACGCCTCACTGCGCCCGGCCCTGGTGTCTGCGCTTGAGCGCCGGCTCGTCTGGTGGCTCAACAGCTCCTCACTCCGTGTGGCGCCCCGGCGCAGCTTGTTCGCGGAGTCCAACGTGTACAACGCGCCTGAAATGGGCATCCTCCGGAGGCTGTGCCGCACGCCGCCGTCTGATGACGACAAAGCTTTGACCGTTATGGCGTCAATTCAGACCGCGATCGCGGCCCGGGAGGGCGGCTGCGTTGTGGGCACGCCGCGCGGCGAGCTGATGGAGCACGTGCCATGCCTTGAAGCGGCAGCAAGTGACGAGAGTGTCGAGAAAGACACGGTCGATGTGGCAGCGACCTCTGACCTTGAGGCGCGAGCCGACGACGGCAGTGTTCCAGCGAGGAAGACCAGCTGTGCTGCAGACCCGCAGCCGCATGCCTGCAGCGTGTGCGGCAAGGCGCAGGGGCCGGACGGCCAGCGCCCGCACCTGTGCAGCGGCTGCCGCAAGCCGGGGCTGCGCTACTGCAGCCAGGCGTGGTGAGCTGCAGCCGGATTGTACAGGTCTGACCTCGCAAATTGGCGCTGTGGATGCAGCCCCCGCTGCTCAGCTCGCGTGGATACGTATTGGTTGTGATGCATGGCCGGCCCCTTGCCGCTGCTGCCTGCCAATCCTGCGACCCTCCGCCCCACCCTGCAGCCAGCGCGTCCATTGGAAGGGCGGCCACCGGCAGGAGTGCAAGGCGCTGCAGCAGGACAGGGCGGCGCGCTCAGCGCAGCAGGGCAAGCAGACACGCGTGCGTGTCGTCGGGCCGTTGGGGTTGTCTTGATGACCTGCAAAGTGCGTGCTGTCGCTGTTCGACGACAGGCCGAGGGCGTGAGGGTGTCCCCATCCGTCACAGCAGCATGCCCTTGGCTGCATGGGTTTGATGCATAGCGGCTGCGGAGTTTGCAACGTGTGCATGAGGGCATCGAAGGTGTTACAACACAATATTGAGGGATCAAACGGGGGTACGGCGGCTCATCGGTCCTGGACGCCGCTACAAAATATATGGATCAGAAAGTCAGAGCAACAGGGGCGGCAAAAGTGGCAGGACAGCTGCTTGTGATGCAGCGGGCTCGAGTGCGTGCGCGCACTTGCCCCACGCTGGCAGGGGGACCAGCCCTGAGCCGCAACGGACAGGGAGGCTGCCAATTGTACTAAAACAACGCGGCGAGTCAAAAAATCTGATCGGTGCCCCATCGCCCCCCCTGTGGTGAAAAGGCCGCGTTCGATGTACAACAAACAGCGTGCTGCGCGTGTGCAGCTGCGTCCGGGCGGCCGGGCGGCCGGCCATCTTGAGAAAGTTTGTGGTGGGGCGCAGGGGTGCGCCTGCCTTGCGGGCTGGCGAAACATCAATTTCGAGGGTGAAGCCCGGCTGCGCAGCGCAATGGGCGCTGCCGCATTATTGGCCTGTAACCGTCGTCGACAAAATGCATGCTCCCGCCATCAGCTAGCCGCCGCCGGGTCGGCGCCGCCGCCCTTCGCAAGAACCCCGGCCTCCGGCTCGCCCAGACTGCGCCAGCGCAGCTGCTGCGTCAGCAGCTGCTGGTCCTGCGCCCCGGCTGCCAGCTGCAGCTCCAGCGCCGCGCCCGGCAGCGCCGCGACCGGCGGCGCGCCGGAAGTCACGCGGCTGCGCGGCGAGGGGGATGCTTGGGCCTGGTGCTGCGGGATGTCGAGGACGGGCAGCTCTCCATACAGCACAAAGCGCAGCAGCTCGTCCGGCACCTGGGGTGGCGCGGCGCGGCCGGGGTAGTGGTGGAGGGGCGGTCGCTGAAGGTCAGCCATTGATTCTACATCCTTGACGCATGGGCGCGATGAGTACCTAAGATACCGTGTTGGATCACCCAGCAACGCCCCGCTTTCAGGTGCGCTCGCGCTCTGCAGATTGCATCAAGTTTTGCGCGTGGACTGGTGCAATAGATCACCCGCCACCGCGGGGCGAGCGCCGACGGCGCAGGCGCACGAACCTGCACGCCCGTCAGCGCGCGCGCCAGCGGCGCCCCTTCCAGCCGCTCGTCCGCCGCCAACCGCTCGCTCATCTCCGCGTGCAGCGCGCGGTTCGATGACGTCACCGCCAGGGCAGCCGCGAGGGCACCCTCCAGCAGGCCCTTCACCTCAACCTCCACCTAAATGCGATGAGGGGCGGGCCGAGCGGTTCAGGGGCGCGCCATAACCCTTGGCAGAATCAGCTGACTTGTTGAGTCGGCTTGACGTGCCAGCCCAGCCAGGGGGACTGGCTGATCAAAGCGTGCGCAAGGGGGAACGGCGACCGCAGGGCGCGGAGACGTCAGCGCACAACGCAGCCCAATGCAGAGGCGTGCGCCAGGTGAGGCATGCGGAGCCGGAGCCTCCCTGCCGCCACGACAGGACCCAGCTTGGTTGCCAGACCAAACGCGATTGCCCCAGTTCCGATAATTTGTGGCAGCTGCCTACCAGCTTCCCGGTGTCGCCCGAGTCCCGGACGGACAGCCAGCCGTCGTCGCCGCCGCCCGCCGAGAGCACGCCAACATTCAGGGGCCCCACTGCAGGGCTCAGCCCGTACTCGCACACACTGATGAGGTGTGGGGAGGAGGGGCAAGGCGAAGGCACGTCAAAGAGCAAGATTAAGGACAAAGCGCAAGGGGCAGACACAGCGAAAGCGGGGTTGAGCGTGAGCACGGGTGAAGCCAGACAGGCGAGCGCACTGGCTGTGCGTCAAGGAGCACGTGCACCCGCTGTACGCGACAGCAGGTGCACGTGCTCCTTGCAGGAGGGTGGCTGGCGTTGCACCGGAGCGCATCCTTTGCCGAAGGAACACAAAGGGGGCCCTTGCGGCAGTGCGCCCTTGCAGCAGTGTGCCCGGCCGCACCTCCTGTAGGCGAGGTCTGTGGCGCGGCGGATGTCGTCAACGGCGCCAGTGCTGACGGCGGCGCAGGTCAGCAGCTCCGCCGCGCGGCCGCCCATCAGGATGGCCTGATGAGAATTTTTTTTTTTTTTTTTCGTTTTGAGGGGTTGATGGGGGGGAGGGGAATGAGGTGGGCCGCCACTCGCCTGAACACTCGACAAACCCAGCTGCAATGTGGGTGCATTTCGTCTGCGCCCCATGCGTCCAGCCGCGACAACACCCCCAAGGGGCCGAAGTCAATAAGAATGCGCGAGCACAGACTGCAACAGTGCGGGATTTTTGACTGACAGCCAAACGCTCGGGCCTCTTCCCGTTGCAGCTTCCCACCAGCTGCCCGCGTATCTCCCGGTCAAACATCAGCGCCCGGTCCTCCGACTTGGGCGGCGAGTAGGTGAACCCCAGGGCGCCGCCAGTCCTGGGGATGATGGATAGCTTCTCCACCTCCGGGGACCCGGGGAGAAGCTGCGCCACCGCGGTGCACACGAGGGCGTGCCCGACCTGGCAGCGCACGCAATATGATGTGCAGAAGTTTGAGCCGGGACCAGCGCCGATGGGACGACACCATGAGACGCCCGGCTTCACCGCCGTAGCGGCCCGCGTGTAAGACCGCACAGGCGCCGGCGCCGCCGCCTTTGCGACCAAATGATTCAACCGGGCCCCACTTCCTCTCTGGATGCAACCAGACTTTGCACCCTGCACTGGAAACGCACCTCGTGCCGCGCCACCACCTCCTTCTCGAGGCCGGCCAGGATGGAGCGCTTCTTCTCGATGCCCGCCACTGCCCTCAGCACCGCCACATCAAACTCCTCGGGACCCACCAAGGACTGGGGTCCGTGAGAAGGGACGTTTGCCATTGTGTTTGTGTGTTTGTGTGTGTGTATGTGTGTGTTTGTGTGTGTGTGTGTGTGTGTTTGTTTGTTGTGTGCAAGCGTGCGTGCGTGGATGCACCCGACATATTGTTGTACACGAGAGCGCCTGCAGCCATGGTTCAGCATGGTGAGAGGAACGCAATACAGCAGGCACAAACTACGCGCGCACCACCCTTCCCGTGGTCGCAAACCCCTGACACCCACGATGATGCAGGGTCACCAGAGCGCCGCCGCACATGCGCTGTCCTAGGGCTCGCGTTGCGGCCGGTGCCCACCTTGTTGCGGCGCCCCGCCAGCAGGGCCGCCTCGTTCACGAGGTTGGCCAGGTCCGCCCCCGTGAACCCCGTCGTCATCGCCGCGATGGATGATGGCGTGACCTCGGGCGACAGCGGCAGCCCCCGGCGCTGGAGGTGCACCTGCGACCGGTGAGGGCCCGGTGCCAACAGCGAGCGGTAAGTCACGCTGCATCGAGAATCAGGCAGCGTCCGGCTAAGAAGCGCGGCCACAACCGTCGTATTTCCATATGGTGAGGGGCAGGGGCAACCTCGGATCAACTAGGAATGCAGTTTTTGTACGTGCTGAGTCTGTTCCCAGTCACCAAGGAAGCACAGCAGCGCCCACCCTGAGGATCTGCTCCCGCCCCAGCCTGTCGGGCCGCTCCACTGGAACGCGGCGGTCAAAGCGCCCCGGCCGCAGCAGCGCGGCGTCCAGCACGTCAGGCCTGGGGTCGGCGGGTCAGACAGGGGAGCCTCGAGGGGTGGATTGAATAACATATACTAAACCACGGGAGATCTTAGAGGGAGCCCTGGTGGGTGAGCCGCTGCATGGCAGTTCGTGAGCGTGCTGCGACGCGCCAGGGGCCCTGGGCCCTCAGAAGCCCAAAGACGCCCCTGTCGCAGCGACCAATAACCGTACCACGCCTTTATCACAACAAGTGTTGAGCGTCCCCCACCTGTTTGTCGCGGCGATGCAGATGACAACGTTGTCCTTATCGGTCTCAAAGCCGTCCAGCTCTGTCAGCAGCTGGTTGAGCGTCTGCTCGCGCTCGTCATTGCCCACGCTGCGCAGGCGGCTGTCACGGCCCTTGGCGACCTGGTGGGTTGGTTGGTTGGTTGGTCACTTGATCAGTTGGTTGGCTGGTTGGTTGGTTAATTGGTTGGTTGATGGTCCATTGGCCGAGGCAGAGCGCGCGTGGGCTTGCGAGAGAAGGGAACGCAGGCCGCATGGCACGACGCGGGCTGCGTTGGCGCCCATGACGCGCAGAGAGCGCGTTCACTGCTGCCCGGGTGCCACGGCTGCCTCGCGCCACACCCGGCTGCCTCAACTGCACCGACAACTCAAGACACGTATGCGATGGCCTCTCGCAACTACCCTGCAAGTCCAAGGCCCTTCCTGTACCCCACGCACCAACCAGACGCTGTGCCGCTACCAGCCCCCCACTGCCACGCCCAATTTTTGGTGCACATAGACAGCCGAAACGTGCACATTTCAAACCCGGTGCACGCTCCCAAAACAACCCACCGCGTCGATCTCGTCGATAAACACGATCGCGGGCGCCTCCTTCCGCGCGTTGGCGAACAGCTCCCGCACGCGCATCGCCCCCATCCCCACGTACAGCTCCACGAATTCGGATGCCGCAATGGAGAAAAAGGGCACGTCCGCCTCGCCCGCGACGGCCCTCGCCAAGAGGGTCTTGCCCGTGCCTGCGAGCACACGCAACGCGGGCGCGGTTTGGGGGCGGGAGGATGCGCGGCAAGAGGTTTGGGCGGCGCAGAGGGTGTCACGTCACGATGTGGTGGGGTGGGCCAGGACGGCGTGAAGGAAAGGGCCTCGGCAGGAGGTGGGGCGGCGGCGTCATGGGGTGCGCGGGGTGGGGGTTTCAAGGGGTGTCAAGCAGTTGCTGACCTGGCGGCCCGACGAGCAGCACGCCGCTGGGCGGGCGCGCCCCCAGGCGAGAGAACTTCTCGGGAGCCCTGAGGTACTCCTGGTGTTCGCGCCAGGGAGTGGGGGTGGGAAGGGGCGCAGGGAAGTGCGGGGACCATAAAAGTCAGAGGGTCCAAAGAGGCATCCACTGCGGCCCTGCTGATAAGCTGGCCAATGCTTGAGCTGCGTCCGCGCCAGCTTCAAGGGGCAAGACCATACCGCTCAGCTGAACTCCGACCACTTCAATGCATTGGTATCAAGGGTGCAAGACAATGCAGTCAAACCCCGGTCAAACCCCTGGTCAACGTACGCACCACGATCTCCTGCAGCTCCTCCTTCGCCTCATCGACCCCCGCCACATCAGCGAATAGCACCGTGCTGCCGCCAGCCCCGCGCCGCGCGCCCTCCGCGCCCGCGCCGCCGCCGCGCGCGCCGCCGCCGCCGCGGTGCTTGCGGCCGGTGCCCTTGGCGGGCAGCTTGATTGGCAGGCGGTTGAGCGCGCTGAGAAACAGCACCGCATACAGCCCATACACCTGGCGGTGCAGACGGCAGCGCGGGGCTTGGTGGGTGGGGGACTTGGGGCCAACAGACTCCCCGGCAAAAGAAGACAAGCAGGCAGCTGTTGTTTCATGACAGCTGTTGAGTCACGAGGCAACAGCAAGAAAAGGCACACGGGCAGCTGTTGAGTCATGGAGGACTTGCAAGAAGCTGCCGGTGTGCCTTCGTTTGCCGAGATTTGAATACAGATCGGCCGCCCCGCAGCATGCACGGTGATACCACGCAGCTGCTGCAGCGTCCAACCATCCGCTGCGCCTTCTCCCCTACCCCCCCAACACCGCCTCCCCTAGCCCCACGACGCGCCGCCGCGAGCGCCACGCGGTGCCCCACCATGACGGACAGCATCCAGTTGCCGCGCTTGTCCACCGCCCCAAACGCCACGCCGTTGCCCTCAAGCACTGAGTACGGCAGGCTGTAATCCGGGGGCCGCACCGTGGAGAATGACACCTGGGGTGACGGCATGGATGCGGGGCGCATGGGACAGCGCAAAAGCAAGGGTCGATAGGAGGCGGATGGGGCCACGAAGGTGCTGCAAGCTGACGTGGAGCGCAGCTGGCGCCAGGAAGACCGCAGCACTGCGCGGCGCACATTGCGCGCCTCGGGCCCTTGTCACGGCTGCGGTGCGTTGCGAGAGCCAGCGAGCTACTCTTGAGCTCTTGGCACCCGACCAGCCCCTAAGCCAGCTGTCGAGTCGAGGGAAATCGGCACCCCTGCAGCAGCCCCCGCCTGCCACTGCGCCCAACAGTCCGCGAGAAACCCCGGCCCTCACCCGCGCGCCCTCCGCGCCCGCAGGCGGGTCGCGCAGCAGGCTGCTGTCCGGCTTGAGGGAGAAGTTTATGTCCAGCCCGTCCACGGACACCGACGAGACGTCGTTGGCGCGCACGCGCCGCACAAACTCGCTGAACGGCACCTGGGAGGAAGCCAAGGTTGTGGGGTGGAGCTGGTGGGGGGCCGTGCGGGGTGGGGCGCGGCGGCTGGGCCTGGGCTTGGGGCAGCCGCTGGCATGGTGATCGCACCACCCACGCCAGCGTCTGGTTGGAAGGGCGAGCGCATGCATGCACGGCGGGCTCTGTCACACGGATGGACCCTGGGGCGCCGCTTGCAGCGGCAGCAGTTGCAAAACCTATGCTGATGTGGGCGGCCGCACCTGCAGTGTTATGGACTCTGGCCGCGCCCCCAGCCCCCGGCCGCCGACCGGCCACAGCCGCACGAGGAAGAAGAGGGCGACGACGTTGAGCAGTATGCGCCACGGCTGGCTGATCTGGGCGTTGGCGAAAGCGCGCTGGAGCCACGACTGCTGCGGACGCCCTCCGCGCTGGCGTCGCCCGCCGCCGCTGCCGCCGTCGCCGCTGCCGCCGCTGCTGTTGACGGTGCTGCTGCTACTGGTGCTGGCTGAAGCCCCCGACGCCGCCCGCTGTGCATTAGCGGATGCTTGCTCGTCTTCACTTGCGCTGCCGTTGCTGGTGCCACCTGAGGCAGTGTCGGGGTCCTTGCTGGCCGCACACGCGGCCCGTGGCCGACGCGACGCGCACAGAAGCGTAGCAGGACGACCGAGGCAGGCGGGCAGGGCACGGAGACCATCATAGGGGTCGCTTGGCTGCGGTGTGGGGGCGCAGCGCCGCCGCGCAAGAACAGGCACGCGCAGCGGGCGCAGCGGCGCCGCTGCTGTAGGGCCCTGGGTGGCCACCGTGCGCATGCACGGTATTACTGCGCGCATGAGTGACTGCTGCGGCAGTGCGGAGACAGATACGAGCCCTTGCCAGCAGTGGTGTGGATTTGATGGTTCCCGATCTACGGCACAGAGCGCAAAACGGAGCGTCGGCAAAACGTTCAGATGTCGCGGGTCGTGATATTCTTGGAAGGCGACAGGCAACCGGACTGGAAAGTCCCGGGTGTGTCGCTTCCTCACTTGGGGTCGGTGCTGTGCTGGGGCGAAGGTGCTGGTTCCGGCAAAACACTGCGTTGGCGTCCCTCTGCACAACGCACCATACATTTGGATACACCTGGCGTTAAATCGTTCACTTCAGTGAAACCGGTCTGTTTGGGTTGGTTGGCCTAGCATCACACTCCTCTACACGAAGGGCACCGGTGCGTGTGCACGCGAAGCTGGCTGTTAGCCAGATCTTGTGGACAAGCTAGAAATCCGACCGCTGGGTGGAGCCAACCAAAGCGGCACGCTGGCAGGGTGTCTTCGCAGCGGAACGCAGACCAAAGCAGCTCTCTCTGGGGCCCGCGGGCCATGCAACGGTGTTGAAAGACGATCCGAGGTTCAACAAGCTCTCCTGCAACACGTTGCGCGCCGCAGGACGCACCTGCGCGGCGCTGCTGCTGCCGCTGCTGCTGCAGCCTCTGCAGAGGGCTGCAGGCTTCACGGCTTGGTGCTCGGCGCCTTGTACGCCACCTGTGCACCACCCAGGTCACACCTCTGCAGCAGACAGCTCGATCACGCTGCTCGCATCATAAACTAGGTCGCGACCAGCAGGCGGGATGCTCGACTACTTTGCGATCTTTACAAAGGGCGGCGCCCTGCTGTGGACGCTGCAGTTCACGGCCGCGCTGAAGCACAGCCCCATCGACGCGCTCAACGCGCTTGTGCGCGGCTGCCTGCTGGAGGAGCGCGCGTCAGACGCCGCGTTCACGTACCAGCCCAAGACCGGCGCCGCGCAGTCCCTCAAGTGGACGTTCCACAACGTGCGGCGGCGGCGGCGGCGGCGGCAGCGCTGCTTTTGGGGCCTGGGACACGCTTGCAAGCTTTGCTGCATCCGGCTTCTCCCACCTCAGTGCAGCAGGAGCTCTGCATGCAAGCCACTTCACTGCATGCATGGGCGCCCACTGGTTCTTGTTCAAGGGCAATGCAGGCGTCGTGCACGCAAGGATGCACGCCTGCATGAAAACCAGCTTGCGGCCCCATGACATGCCCCCCCTGCCCTGGCTCTCTCCCTTCCTTGCCGCCACCACAGGGTCTCGGCCTGGTGTTTGTGGCGGCCTACCAGCGCACGCTGTCGCTGCTGTACGTTGACGAGCTGCTGGCCACTGTGAGGGACGCCTTCGCGACGGAGCACTACAAGTGAGTGGGAGCAAGGACCCTGTATTTTTGAGGGGAGGGCGCCAGGGGCGATGCCGTCCGCCGAGAAGCACTGTACTCTACTTTACTCATGCGGCCGGGGTTGGCAAGGGGGTGGGCGATGTGCATGCTGGGCGGCTCTGTGCAAGTTTGTGCATGCGCAAGTGTGTCTGTTTGTGTGCGTGTTGCGCACGTGAGAGAGAGAGAGAGAGAGACAGAGAGAGAGAGAGAGAGAGAGTGTGTGTGTGTGCGTGCGCGCGCGTGTGTGTGTGTGTGTGTTTCAGCAAAGCACTGTTTGAAACAGAAAAAGCATGGGCACCGGCATCTCACAGGCCGCGGCGCTTGGTTTTGGGCGCATGCCTACGCATGCAGGCCCGGCGGCTATGACTACTCAGCGTTCACACGCACGTTTGAGGCCACCCTGAAAGACTGCGAGGCGCGCTCGGACGCCTCGCGCCGCGCCGCCGCGGCCCCCGCGCGCGCCCCGGCCGGCGCCAAAGGCGGCCAGCAGCGCGGCGGCGCCGGCAAAAGCGGCGGCGGCGCCATGGCCGGCGCGGCGCAACAAAGCGGCGACGCCGACGACGATGCAGATGACGCGGCGGCAAAGCCCGCGGCCGTCGGCAACGGCGCGGGCACGCCGCTCGGCAGCAGCAGCAGCGGCGACGAGGACGAGGGCGCGGCCAACAAGTCTGGCGGCGGCTTCGACATCAGCAAGCTCAAGGCGAAGAGCCGCAAGGCGCTGGGCGGGCCCAAGGGGCGCTCGCAGGTGCGGCGTGGGACGCGGGAGGAGGAGGAAGAGAAGAAGCGGGAGACGGCGTCGCCCGACAAGAAGAAGAAGGTGCGGGGGCCGGGGCGGCTAGGGGGCAGGTGGTGGGGTCTATCGGCGGGGACCAGGTGTCCGGTCAGGTCCTGGGGTGGCGGCAGACGCCGGCAGCTGCAAGAGGGACGTGAACAACACGTGCCTGGCAACGCGCCACCCCAAGGTTTTGCTACGTGTGCATGCCGGTTGTCAGCAAGCAGATGCCCATGCCCGCGCCGCCAACGCCCTCCCTCGACGGCACGACCCCGCAGCAAAATCGCCACTGGAACGGCGGCGCCGGCGGCGGCAGCGCCGACGACCTCCCTCGCCTCGACTACTCCGCAGCCACCGCCAACGGCGGCGCGAGCGCAGGCGGCGCGCCCCCCGCCGACGCGGGCGCGAGCCGCATGGAGGACGACGAGGACGACGGCGCAGAGTGGAGCGACGAGGAGGAGGACGCGGCGGCTGGGGCGGGCGCCAACGGCAGGGGCGCCGGCGCGGCGGCGGCGGGGCCTGCTAAGGCGAAGGGCGTGCTGGGCAGCTTCATGAGCAAGCTGGCGCTGAGGTGGGCGCCAGGCTGCGTGCGCGCACGCGTGCGTGCGTGTGTGTGTGTGTGTGTGTGTGTGTGTGTGTGTGTGTGTGTGTGTGTTGGGGCAGGGACCGGGGCCAGGGCTTGCCAGCCTTGCGCCCTTCTGTGGCATCCTTGTCACAGCATTGGGGGGTGAGTGTCACGCAAGCGGCGCTGCAGCGCAGCGCCGTGTGTGCGGAAGCGACGGGACCGCCGGCTGACCGCGCTGCCCCGCCATGCAAACCGCCACGCTGGCGCCTGCAGGGTGGCGGGCAGCAGCGCGCTGTCGCGCGAGGACCTGCAGCCGGCCCTAGAGGACATGCAGCGCAAGCTGATGGAGCGCAACGTGGCGGAGGAGATCGCCGTGCAGGTGCTTCGCGAGGGGGACAGTTGGCGGTGCGGCGTGAGGGCATGCGTTCGCGTGTGCGCGGGCGGCAGGCGGACCAGTTCGGCGGGTCGTCGGGGCCGTGGCTGGGCTGTGTTTGCAGCCTGGTGGGGGCGATGGTCCCCTGAGGCAGCGGCGTCTGCGCAACAGCAGCGGCGGCGCGCCCGCGGCGGCGCGCCCAGGGGCGAGGTCACATTTTCGAGCGCCCCCACTCCCGGCCCTCAGGTGTGCGAGAGCGTGGCTCAGAGCCTGGTGGGCCAGAAGCTGAGCAGCTTCACGGGCGTCAAGACCTTTGTGCTGCGCGCGTTTGAGGATAGCCTGTCCGGAATCCTCAACAAGCGGGCGGTGGATGTGCTGCACGACGTGCAGGTGCGGCGCTTGCCAGCAGGCTCGGCATCACACATACACTCAAACACACACGCACATACGCACACATGCAGTACATGCCAGTGTTGGCTGTCTAGATTGAGGGTTGCCTAGGGCCTTATTGTTGATGAGACTGGTCATCCCAGCAGCAGCAGGGCAGATGCATACAAGCCCCGCCCCCCAGCCGGGCACAGCCACCGCCCTGACACGTGCCTTGCGGCGCCGCCCCGCTCCTGCCCCGGGCCTCTCGCCCTCCCTCCCATGCAAACGGCCGCAGCGCCAGCGCGCCAAGGGGCGGCCCTACGTGGTGGTGTTTTGCGGCGTCAACGGTGTCGGCAAGAGCACAAACCTCGCCAAGATCGCCTACTGGCTGGGGCAGCACGGTGCGAGGGGTTCGACCGTTTGACCGGATGTGCTTTGGGCAGCAGACCATATGAGGGGGCTTGATACATTTCACTGGGGTGCTTCGAAGGGGTGGCTCCCTGCCTCCCTTTCCTTGTGATGATCTGAGGGCTCAGGGAGGGCTATTTCGGAGGGTCGACTGGACCGTTGCTCTGTTGGGGGTTTGCGCTTTGGGAGGCTGCGGCATTGCAGGAAAGCTGCTGCAGCCTCTCCTGCCTTGGTTGCGTGTTGAGCTAGCCGCCCTGCACTCTGAGTCCACACCCGGCGATTAGCCCAGCGGCCGCCGACCTGGCCTCCTATAATGTCAGCCTGGTGCTCAACCAGTACCCCTGAAGCCAGGCAGGATAGCCAGGGCCACTGTGACCTTGCCTTTCATCCCGTCGCGCCTCTCCGTTTTCCGCGCAACAGGCCTCAAGGTGCAGCTGGCAGCGTGCGACACGTTCCGCGCCGGCGCAGTGGAGCAGCTGAAGACCCACGCCATGCGCCTCGGGGTGCGCTTGGGCGTACCTGTTTCGACGCGCGGCCGCTCCTGCTTTCCGAGTGCATTGCGCGGCGCCGCCTGCCTGGAGACCGCCGCGACGCGCTGCGGGCGATGAGCCGCGCGCCAGCGGCTGCAACATGCCGCCCGCTTTTGGGAGTTGATGGCGCACACGGCGCCCGGCTCCGCGCGCTTCATCATCTGCAGCCCCTGTCCCGTCATCCCCCCC